TAATAAGCATTCTATGAGATGGTTACCAGGATTGGAAGGGAAGGGATTGAGTGTAGACATGTGCTAACTTAGGTGATGGGGAAGGCAAGTTACAAAGTAAAGGGGAAAAAAAAAAGAAGGAAATGGCTTTATTTTATTTTTTAAACATGTACTGAAAGGGAACCTGTGAATGCTTATGTGCTCACTAATACATACCTTTGGGAACTTTCTTAAAAGTTTTTTTTTTTAAAAAAGGAAATAAAAGAAAAGAGAGCCAGAAAAGATTTGGAAATGGATACTTGTGATGGTTGCACACCACACGGGGTGCATGGTTGGTGTGGCTGCATTGCACTTGGAAAAATGGTTGAGATGGCTCTTTTATTGTAGCTACATGGCTACAATTAAAAAACTAAATAAGGATAATGAGACTGTGGACTCTCTTATTTTGTTGTTGTCGTTAAGTGCCATCAAGTCAGTTCTGACTCACAGGAAGCCTGTATAGGGTTTCTGAGGATCAGCTGGTGAGTTTGAACCACCACCTTGCAGTTCCAATTAGCCAGTGTGGTCTAGTGCTTATCCTACAGTGCCAAACCCAGACAGACTCTTACTTGGGGCCAATAGAAAAGGATAAAAGGCAACAGAGAGGACCAATGGTAAACGAGGGGGCCGTCTCTCTAGGAGATGACCCACCATAATAACCACAGCTGTGGACTCACCGTGCCAATGTTGACGGTGACAGTGAGGACTGAGCACCACCTGCCCTTTTACCCACGAGGTCACCGGGAGGAGGCACTGCTCAGCAGCAGCTAACAACACAGCCAAGTATCTTTGAGAGATTTTGGAAAGGTTTACTGAAGAATCTGGGGGTAAAGGGACTGTTGAGGGAAGAGTGGTGTGGGGGCAGAGGGGAAGAGCACTGTGGGTGGTACAGGATGTCCTTTGCCATTTACTACTGCTGGCAGTTACTATTCGAGGCAGGATGCAAACAGAAATGTTGGTAAAATCAGAACCAGGAGAGCATTTTTAAGCTATTCCAATAACACTTGGACTTTATCTTAAATGCAGCTGCAGTTGCTTTCAATACAAGGAAGTAAACATAGATTTAAATTTTAGATATGTCTGTGTAGTGACTCCGTGGCAGATATCTTAATAATGAATCCTTTAACTAGGATAATAGTTTTAAGTGAATCAAGTAACTCAGGCATTTTTCTGCAAGTGAAGGCGGTATGGAAAAACATCAGAAAAGGAATCAGACAACTCAGGCTTGGCTTTTGCATTCTCACTAGCCACTTACTTTCTGTGTGACCTCAGTTACACCACATTAACCTTTCTAAGACTCAATTTTTCTCATCCGTGAACACTTGATAAAAATATTTTCTACTCTGTCTGCCTTCAGTGCTGATGTGAGGATCAAATAACGTGCTCTGAGAACTATCGGCTATCACACAAATGGAAGAGATGATTAAATTCAGCAAACACCCGTTTGTACATGCACAACTATGGACAAAGCATTGTGGAGTGCACACACGGGATCCTGTCCGCTGAAGAAATCAACATCATTCTCTGGAAAAAGTGAAGCCGCCAGAGCAGGATTCTGTGGGGTCACCAGCAGTGTGGTTGCCGAACATGCTGAATGAGAGCCAGCTAAGGAACTCTGGCCCGTGTTTTGTCACAGCTGCTTTGACTGTTCTGTGAAACTGTCATTATGAGGGCTTTTCAAAGTGGCTACGAGTTGGGCTGCTAACCTCACAGTCAGCAGTTTGAAACTACCAGCGGATCCGTGGGAGAAAGATGAGGCTTTTTGCTCCCATAAAGACTTACAGCCTCGGACACCCTGTACAGGGTTGCTATGAGTCAGAACCAATTCCATGGCACATAACAACAACAATGTGCCTCTCAAAATGATCAATATCACAAAAACAAAATCATTAAGAACCTAAATGTACAAACTAAAACTAAAAAAATTCTTAGATGAACAAGCAGACGCAATGAACAAGTTAGGCCCAGCGTTCAACAATGGATTCTCTAGTATAGTAACAAAAGTTCAGACAGCCAAAGACAAAATAAATACTGGGGACCTCATAACATTTTTAAAAAATTTTTTTCAACAAAAGACTTTACATAAAAAGTGAAAGACAAGCTACCTACTGGGAGAGTATCTTCAGAAACCATATATGTCAGACAAGCATTTAATAACAAAAATGTATATAAAACTTTGACAACAAAAAGACAAAAATATCCTCATCAAAAAGTGTGCAAAGGACTTGAAAAGACATTTCACCAAAGAGGACATTCAAATGGCCACCAAATTCCTGAAAAGATGCTTCATTAGCATTCAGAGACACAAGTAAGTGCTACAATGAAGTGCCATTTCATTCTTAATAAGATGGCTAAGAGAAAAAACAAAAACAGAACAGAAAATAACAGCTGGCAAGGATGTGTGGAAACTGGAACCCATATCCACTACTTCGAAGAATTCAAAATAGTGCAGCTGTTGTGGGAAGCATTGTGGCACTGCCTAAGAAAACGGAAAATAGGTGACTGTTTTATTAAGTGTCGTTGAGTCAGCTCCAACCCATAGCAACCCCGTATAGGGTTTCTAAAGAGCGGCTGGTGGATTTGAACCACTGACTTTGTGGTCCAGTATATAATCCTGTAGCAGTACACTAGGACTTGTATGTATCCCAGTAATTCCTCTCCTAGGTATATACCCAAAAGTCTTGAAAGCAGAGACTCAAAAAGAGACTTGTACATCGACGTTCATTGCACACTGTTCACAGTAGCCAAAAGCTGTAAGCAATCTAAATGCCCATCAGTGTATGTCCGGATAAATCATATGTGGTACATAGATACAACCAGTTGTTGTTGTTTTCAAGTGTCATCAAGTAGATTCTGACCCATAGTGACCCTGTATACGGTTTCCAAGGAGCAGCTGGTGAGCTTGAACCGCCAACCTTGCAGTTCAAACGGCTTTGCAGTCTGGCGCATTAACCCACAGCGTCATACCAGGACTCCGATACAGCCAGTAGGGGAACTGAAGTCTTGACACACATTACAGTATGGATAAGGCCAAAGGCATTCTGCTGAACAAAATAAGCCAGCTACAAAAGAGCAAAAGTATTGGAGGACATCGCTTATGTAAAAAGACAACAAAAGTAGAGAGACCAGTTTATTACACTCACTCCTCACTTATCAACATGGTTAGGTTCCAAAGACCAGGTCACTCTGAAAAACTATGAGTTCTGCAAAAATAGAGGTGGATATCAGAACACAAAATGGAAGATAATCATTTATCCTCACACTGAGAATCATAGCCCAGCCAAGATGACACCCAGCCAGCGTTACTCTCAAACCCACACGCCAGTGTTCATTACTGCTAGACTTATCAAAACACTGCACAAAATGACCAGATTTCTTTCCTAAATGTGAACTTTCAGATAAGGAGAGCGTTGATAAGTGAGTAGGCATAGTGGTTGCCAGGGGCAAGAGGGAGGGGAGAAACAGAAGCAAACAGCCAATGGATGAATCACACTAATTAAGGGCAGGGGTGCACCACCAATTACCGTAAGCACGGTTAATAATATGTACACCCATGAAAAGTTGAATTGACAAAAGTTGTGTGATAGCTGTATTTACAACAGTGACCAGAAAAAAAAAAAAAACAAAAAAAAAACGCGAGAGAGAGCGTGCGAATAGCTTCTGGGGCTGCTTACACACAACCACACACCTCATGGGGTCCTTGATTTGGAGGTTTACATTTGTGGTTTTGTGAGACATCCCAGTTAATTGACTTCATCTCGTGTTTAGTTCGGTTCTACCTCTTAGTTCATTGTGTGGTTCCTGGGGTCCTAACAGCTTGCAAGTAACCATCCAAGGTCCAACAGTTGGTTGCTGTTCACCGGGAACAACGGAGGAAGAAAGCAGGCCAGGAGGAGGATATGGAACATGTGGTTAATTGCTTCCATGAGTAACTGCCACCATCTGACTGCCATTATTAAACATTCTGACCAAAGATACCATAGAAGAATCCAGATTAAAAGGAGGAAAATGCAGAACCAAATTTCAGGCTCTTATCACTTGACTGTCTGCTTGTAACCCCCAAAACGATAGCCCTGAGATGATCTTTAAGCCTTAAACCAAAAATATCCCCTGAAGTCATCTCAAAACCAAACAACAGCTTAGTGTAACCAGTCAGAAAGGTCTGCCTTGAGCATGATGCTTTCTGAAGAACTGTCTCTATGGAATCAAAGTGAAAGATTGCACAGGAACACTAGGGAGCAGTGAGTTTATGTTAATGGGGGAAGGCCAACTCAAGAAAGGACAGCGAGAATGGTTGCTCAACTCGAAGAATATCATCAATATCACTAAACTCTCCATGTAGAAATTGTTCATTTGTTGTTAAGAATATACACAGTAAAACATACACCCACAACATAAAGAAAATTTAGGAAAAGCACATCAAGTTTATGACTTTGGGTTATAAACTCCTTATATGATCATAACTACAGGAGTAAGTCTGAATATTATAAGAAGCAATATTAGTGTTCAGTGTGGAGTAGAAAATATAACACTCCTAAGTGGAATTGATGGGTACCTTAAAAAATAATCCATCTATCATGGGATATTCCAGCAGGAGAACAGAAACTCATTCAACATACAAAGTCATGGGGTTTTGAGTATGTTTTCTCTAGTGTATGTCACTATGAAAGCAACTGTAACTAAATGTGGCTTTTTATGTCACACATTTTGTACCTCTTGTTCATGAACCAGCATGTACTGATCTAGGAGGATGGCATCTGGTCCTCATTTTCTTTAAAGCCGACTCTCGTTTTATTTGACCCAGCACTGCATTTCAGCAGAAAATACAGAAATGCCAAGAGGCCTGGATGCGCAAGGCTTTTCATTGGCTTTGGTTTGTCTGGTGGTGGTCTTTAGGCTAGACTGAGGAAGATTAGGGTCAGCCATCCACCCTGGGGATGGATCCTCACTGGATCCTCACTGGACTGAGAGTTACTAAACAGGGACACTGTGAGTCACAACTGACTCGACAGCACTTAAATAATGAAAATCATTATAACCCAAGATGATAGTATTTGTCAATAAATGACCCAGAGCGTTAGATACAGAGAATATTGTCATGCTCATGTATATGATATAGCTGCACTTGAAATTCTGAACAATCCACTCTCATTTAAAGTTAGGTGGCCCAAGGACTCCATGAGGTGGCACATTTTCACTCTAACGTTCATCAGTAATGGCAAATATCTATTCCTTTTATCTTATTTTGTAAAGGTTAATGCCAAGTCAAGTGAAAAAAATGAGAGATTATAACTGCATATTAAGAATGCCAGAAGGAAGAAACCCAAATGCTCTCCACTAACTATTCACAGCAGGCCCATAGGTGCTTGCTTTCTCTTAGGTAGCAGTGCGTTGTGTGTGCACGTAAGTCACTCTGAAAAACCCCTAAGATCAAAAGCTTGATTATTAATCATTCTTTATGTTGGGATAAAGAAATCATTTTCTGGATCATATTCGTGCTTAAAAATCAACTCAGAGTAGGAATGAACCCACAAACAAAGCCCACTACCCTTGGTTCCACTCATAGCGACCTGTAAGTCAGAATTGAACTACCCACTACATCCTTATGGAAGCCCAATGCCATCTTTCTCTTGATGAGCAGCTGCTACTTTGAACTGCTGACTTTACAACTAGCACTTGAATGGTTAACACAGGGCCAGGACTCCTTGAGTTCTTAAGGTGAGCTGCTGACAAAAAGGAAAAGCCCAACCCTGCAGCTTGTGATAGTTTAGGTTTGGTGACAATGAGACTGGGTCAGGATTCTCAGTGGTTTGGCTGTTGAGATGTAGCTATTCCCCGTGATGAGATCTGCTAGCAGCAGCAGCAGCCAATCAACAGGAAGCTTCCTTGAGGGTGTGGTCTGCTTCCAGCCTATTGGACACTCAAGCAAAGCGCCCTTCCTTTTCTGCTGGGTCTGGATTCTGCATCTGGCTCGTCATTCAGCTTCTGGTTCTTTGAACTTGGGCCAGTGCCCTGTTCTATTGCCTGCTGATCCTGGGAGTTGTCAGCAGCCGGCATCCTTACCCACCCAACCTGCCTGCCTGCCTGCCATCTGACCTGCCAACTTCCTGCTGATCCTGGGAGTCATCAGCAGCCGGCTAAGTTACTGCCCAATCTGCCTGCCTGCCATCTGACCTGCCAATTTGGGTTCATCAGATCCTCTATCCTGACCCCTGAATAACAGACTTAGGACCTGCCTACCTCTAACTGTGTGAGCCAGTCTCTTGAGACAAACTTTTCTTTATGTATACACGTATATAAGCATCACTGGTTTTGCTTCTCTGGAGAACCCAAAGTAGGCCACAGATCTTATAGGACAGAATAGAATTACCCGACTGTGTTACCACAGCTGTCATGTTTACAAAAGGAGATGTTTACTGCTGCATCTTTCTCCCCTGGAGCAGCTGGTGGATTCAAACCACCAACCATCTGGTCAGCAGCCAAGCACTTTAACCAGTGTGTCACCAAGGCTCCTTAGAGTAGGAATGCATGTTTTAAAAAGGCAGTGAACATTATTCTGTGTATTCTGAAGGAATGCAAGTTACAATTCAGAATAAAATAGAAAGGTAACTAATTTTAACTCTTCATTAAAAAGTAAATAATAAAAGATTTCCCAGGTGACAAGGGACACCTTGACCCTTCACAACAATTGAACACAATTCTTCAGGGACAGCAGCATTCACCCACAGGCAGATTCTACAAAGACAATCAAAAACTGTAGCTTCGGAACCATCGTCTCTTAAAAGAGGCCTGAGCCACCACTGGTCATATTTGTGTCTTCATTGTATACATGTCATGTATTTTCCTATTCTTCTTAGTCAAGAAAAAAGATTTTCCCAAAACTTCATCAGCTTGATGCCCCTCAATACCTGGATCTGTCCCTGCTTACTCTAGTGTGTGTTGAGTTGGTTCACCTACAGAGATAATATTGGATTTGTGCAAATGTGTTTGCCTTCTTCACCAACCCCCTTTCCCAAATGGAACCAATGAAACCCACCCCTAGGATGATAGACTACATTAGTGCTATAAATTATCACCCTGAAATACTTCTGTCTAGCTCAAATAGGAATTAGATTCCTGATCTTCACTCAAGAAGTACTGTGACCAATGTGGGGGATATTGTTTCTGTTAAGTGCTGTTGAGAAAAACGAAAAACCCAATCTGTGTATGGGAAGAAAAATTCTGGGAACCACATATTCAGTAAGAGTCTAATCCCCAATGTTTAAAAAGCTTGTACAATGTTTAAAAAAAAAAAAAGACAACCCAATAAAAACTGGGCCAAGGACTTGATCATTTCACCATCTAGAATATTCATATGGTCAACAAGCACATGAGAAAATGCTTCATTAAAAAGCAAACGTAGTGTGATACAATAGTGAATAATTGTTATCAGGACTGATTGTGTGGGTTGGAAATGTAAAGGTAGACGTTTTATAGCAAGGAGGGGAGTGATTAACTTTTCAGTCTAGGAGCGGAGGTCCCTAGGACCATCAAGGGAGAAGAGCAGAGAGCGGGACCCTACCCAGAGAAGCAGTGATGCCTGAAATGGAGCCAGAGATGATGATGTGGAGTGATGGAGCAGCTGAAGACTTTAGATCCAGAGAGGGAGAGCGACTGTGTGCTGAAGACCTGGGGGGTACGGGGGAAGGATTGCATGGAGGGGATTGTAACCATGGCAATGAGAAATATACGATAGAATGAATTTAAAACTAATGTTCTCCCATGTAAACTATCACATAATTCACAATAAAACATTAAAAAAAAAAAAAAAGCAAACATAGAACACACCCATTGGCATCAAATCAAGTCTGAGTCATTTTGACTTTATAGGACAGAGAACTGACCTAGAGGGTCTCTCCACGTGGAAATCTCTTTTAGCAGCAGACTGCCATGTATTTCTCCTGCAGGTAGGTTAGTGGTTTCAAACTGCCAACCTTCCAGTTACTACTGGGTGCATGAATTCCTGTTCCTCCAGGAGTCTGTCACTAGCCCTTACCCACCATGCACTGCCATCGAGTTCATTCCTACTCATAGCAACTTTGTATACGGCTTCTAAGACTGCACATCCCGACAGGAACAGACAGCCTCATCATTCTCCTGCTGAGTAGCTGGTGGGTTTGAACTACCGACCTTGTGGTTAGCAACCCAATGCCTACCCCACAGCACCACCAGGGCTCATGCAAATAAAAATCACAGTGATACCACCTTGCCCCATTAGAATGGAAAATGATCAAAAGAATCTAAAACTAAGTAGTGCATACGGTGAAACTCCCTTCCATGGCTTGTGGGATTGTAAAATGACACCGCCATTATGGAAAACAGTCTGGCAGTTCCTCACAAAGTTAAGCATAGGGCTACCATATGACTCCAAACCCCAGTCCTACTTAGAACACCCACAGACATGAGAAAAATCAGCAGAATGGCAGACTAAGGCTGAATATTTGTTAAAATATTGTAACAAATGACGTTCTTGAGCCACCCTTATTGTCTTGTGAATAAGCTCTGGAGTCCAAAATTGAGGGATCTGACACAGTAAGATTTAGTGAGCCTGTAACTCTTCTTATCTAAACCACCATAGCTGCTTTCCAGAGAACTAGCTATCTCCAGATCGTGAGACATGCACATATCTGGAAATTTTGTCCTCTGAAATACCCCAGCCATCCTAAATGCTGACATAGGGACCAAAGAATTCTTGTTAGAAACCAAAATTGCTGGTTATATGTCACCAGGAGCTCCCCTGACTCATTTCAAAATTGAGGGGTCCTACTTTGACTTCCGGGCCAAGTCCTAACCTTGAATAATGAATGCATGCCATTTTCCAGAAATGTACTGAACGTGCATAACTTCCTCATTCCCCTGAAAGCTAAAAAACTTCCTGAATCCTTTGCTCAGAGAAACAGTGCTGTGAGAATAACCTCCCTGTCTCCTTACTTGTTATAAATGGTTAACATTTTGTGCTTAAACCTGCATGACTGTAACTTATTCCTAACTAGAAAACAGGCAACGGGTCCCTGGAGTGTGTTAATATGAGGCATGTACTGGGAAGAAGTAAAAACAAGAACACAAACAGAAACCTGTACTCCAGTGTTCGCTGAAACAATTAACAATAGTCAAAAACTGGAAACAGCCAAACGATCCATCAACAGATGAATGAACACACAAAAAGTGGCTACTGTTGCACAGCTATAAAGAGAAATGAAGTTCCGGTGCGTACTGTAACACAGATTACCTTCCAAACACCATGCTCAGTGAAATGAGTCAGTTGCAAATGGACAAACACTATGAGCTAGCTCATTTATATAAAATAAGCAAATATATACAGGCAGACCTTGAAGATGTTGCAGGTTTGGTTCCAAACTACTGCACTAAGGTGAACTTTGCCATAAAGTGAGAAACATGAATTTTCTGGTTTCTCAGTGCATGTCAAAGTTAAGTATGTGTGTACCACGTGCAACGGCATCGTGAAGAGGTTTGAAATAGTGTGAGCATTACCAAAATGTGACCCAGAGACATGAAGTGGTGAATTCAATTCATCTTACGGACTTAGGGCAAGCCCTGGACTATGTTCAAGTTCAAGGAGGAACCACTCCCTGGAGAAGGATATCATACTTGGTAAAGTAGCAGGTCAGTGAAAAAGAGGAAGATCCTTAATGAGCCGGGTTGGCCCAGTGGCTGCAACAGTGGGCATGATCATAGTTATGATGGTGAGGATGGTGCGTATCTACCCACCGAAAGTCACAATTGACTTACCTACCAACGACGCCACCTAACAACGTCAACAACAAACAATATAAATGAGGAATTTTAAAAAATAAACATTTTTAGCAATATAGCTTGAGTTGAAAGGGAAAAAGAGGAAATAAATATTTCAAGTGTTGTTGTTAAGTGCAATCAAGTCAGTCCTGACTCATAGCAACCCTGTATTGAGTTTCCAAGGAGCAGCCAGCTCTTGTATTTGAGCCGCCAAACCACCACCCTGTGGCTCACAGTCCAGTGCTTATCCTACAGTGC